ACGTCACCGGGTTGTACGTGTGTTGAACGCGGAGGTGCCGTCCGTTCGGCACTTGATCATCGGTGATCTGAATCACGACGAGTACGACTCCATCAACCCCGTTCACTTGAACGCTTCCGCTTAGCGATCTACAAGGGTATGTAGATGCACTCTCTTTCTACTCGTTGCTGGTCTCTCCATAGATAGATCTTGGTGACACGTAGGAAAATTTTGAATTTCTGCTACGTTCCCCAACACCACCTACTACGACCTTACCGGGGGCTGGCGGTCCACGTGTGTGTCAGCTTTGTGGCCGCGATGGGCACTGGGCCTCCAAGTGTCATAAGCGCTTCCAGCGAAGCTTCCTTGGTCTTGGCAATGACGACAAAGATACACGCAACAATGCCCGTCAGGTCGCCATGGCTGATCGTCCCACGCCGCAGAAGCAACAGGGACACACTCAGTCCTACTCCATCGATCCACACTGGTACATGGACTCTGGGGCGACAGAGCATCTGACCAGCGAGATGGGGAAGCTTCACACTCGTGAACCCTATCATGGCTCCGACAAGATCCACACCGCCAATGGAGCAGGTATGCACATCTCTCATATTGGTCAAGCATCTCTTCTCACTAGACATGCCAATAGGAATCTTCAGCTTCGCAATGTTCTTCGAGTTCCATCTGTGACCTGTAATCTTCTTTAAGTTCCTAAACTCACACGTGATAATAATGTGCTTTGTGAATTTCACCCTTTTGATCTTTTTATTAAGGATCGGGGCACGAGGGACATTCTTCTTAGTGGGCGGTTGTGCCAGGGCCTCTATCGTCTGGAGCATCCTGGCGTCGCTCGCGTTTTCAGTGGAGTTCGGGTCTCTCCGTCACAGTGGCATGCTCGTCTTGGTCACCCGGCCACACCTATTGTCCGTCATATTTTGCGTCGTCATGAGCTTCCTAGTTTGTCTAGTAATAAAGATGTAGCAGTGTGTGATGCTTGTCAGCAGGGGAAGAGTCATCAACTTCCTTTTTCGGAGTCCAGTCGTGAGGTGAAACATCCTTTAGAACTTGTGTTTTCAGATGTATGGGGTCCTGCTCAGACTTCTGTCAGTGGTCATAATTACTATATCAGTTTCGTTGATGCTTATAGTCGCTTTACCTGGCTTTACCTTATTAAACGCAAATCTGATGTGTTTGATATTTTTGTTCAGTTTCAAAAACATGTTGAACGTCTTCTCAAGCACAAAATTGTTCATGTCCAGTCGGATTGGGGGGGCGAGTATCGCAACCTCAACTCTTTCTTTCAGTCGCTTGGGATAGCTCATCGTTTAGCATGTCCACATACACATCAACAGAATGGTTTAGTCGAACGTAAGCATCGTCATATTGTTGAAGCTGGTCTTACTCTTTTGGCCCATGAATCTGTTCCGTTTCGGTTTTGGAGTGATGCTTTCACCACTGCATGCTTTCTCATCAACCGTACTCCTACTCGTGTTTTAAACATGAAGACTCCCATTGAGGTTCTCCTTAATGAACAACCTGATTATACCTTTCTCAAGGTATTTGGGTATGCTTGCTGGCCGCATCTTCGTCCATATAACAAGCGCAAGCTTGAGTTTCGTTCTAAGAAGTGTGTTTTTCTTGGCTATAGCTCTCTTCATAAAGGTTACAAATGTCTTCATGTTCCCACTAATCGTGTCTATATATCTCGGGACGTCGTGTTTGATGAGCATGTTTTTCCCTTTGCCAACCTTCCTGTGTCTACTGTCGAACCACCATCCCTGCATTCATCCTGTGTTGCTTCTGACCAATTTGATGATGTTGCATACTCTCCTTTGCTGTTACCTAACCATGGTGCAGGAACCGGACGTGGAGCTCGTTTGGAGCTGTTGGAGGATTCACCATCATCATCGTCGTCTTCTGGTGGGCACGTCGATCGCCCTATGTTGCATGGCGTCGATTCGCGTGCTCATGCATGGTCACCCGACAAGCCCGTCGCGCCGAGCATCTCCACTGCTCGGTCCGCTACGCCAGCGATCGCCGAGTTTCCAGCGGCTCGGCCTTTTTCGCTAGCGGCCGCCGAGTCGCCCGCGGCTCGACCCGTCACGCCGTCTTCGCCTGCGGCTCGGCCCGTCACGCCGTCTTCGCCCGCGGCTCGGGTCCTCACGTCGCCTTCATCCGCGGATCGGCCCGCGACACCGGCCGCGCCACGGCCCACTATGCCGAGCTCGCCAACGGCCCGGTCTGTGATGCCGGAGTCGCCAGCTGCTTCGTCTGCTCTGCCGGTTTCGCCGGTGGGCCGGCCTTCTTCGTCGACCGAGTCCGAGGCTACCGTGACTGGCTCCTCGTCACCGGCTGACTCGTCAACGTCGCCGTCCTCCAGCCCGTTGCAGGCTGCTCCGTCGACCTCGGTGGTTCCTGTGTCCCGACCACATACACGCAGTCGCAGTGGCATTTTCAAACCTAAGGAACGTAAGGATGGTACGGTTGCTTGGTTGGCTGCTTGTTTGGCTGCTGCTGTTGCGGATCCATCTTTTGAGCCTCGCTCATATCAGGCTGCCCTGCGCATTCCACATTGGCGAGAGGCTATGGAGCAGGAGTTTCATGCTCTTCTTCGTAACAAGACATGGACTCTCGTTCCTCCACCACCACGGGTAAATGTTATTGACTCAAAATGGGTATTCAAAGTGAAGAAGCATTCGGATGGATCTATTGAGCGTTACAAAGCGCGACTTGTTGCTCGCGGTTTTCGGCAGCGTCATGGTCTTGACTATGAGGACACCTTCAGTCCTGTCGTCAAGCCTACCACTATTCGGCTTCTTCTCTCCATTGCTGTTTCTCGTGGTTGGTCACTTCGTCAACTTGATGTGCAGAATGCTTTTCTACATGGATTTTTGGAGGAAGAGGTTTATATGAAACAGCCGCCTGGTTTCTCTGATCCTGATCGTCCTGACTATATCTGTCGTCTTTCCAAAGCACTATATGGTTTGAAGCAAGCTCCTCGTGCCTGGCATGCCCGCCTTGCCTCTACCCTTCGTGCTCATGGGTTTGTGCCGTCTACTGCTGACACTTCGTTATTTCTTCTACAGAAGCCAGAAGTCACTATGTATCTTTTGGTATATGTCGATGATATTATCCTTGTCAGCTCTTCTCAGTATGCTGCTGATGCTCTTGTCTGCTCTCTTGGTGCTGATTTTGCGGTCAAAGATCTTGGGAAGCTTCACTACTTTCTTGGAGTTGAGGTCACTTCTCGTGCTACTGGTCTTGTCCTTACGCAGAAGAAGTACTCCTTGGAGTTGTTACAGAGAGCTGGCATGCTGAAGTGCAAACCGACCACCACACCCATGTCGTCTACCGACAAGATAACAGCTGTTGATGGTGAGCTTTTGTCTCCTGCGGATGCCACAGAGTACAGGAGCATTGTTGGTGGACTTCAGTACTTGACGATCACGAGATCAGATATCTCTTATGCTGTTAACAGGGTTTGTCAGTATCTTCAGGCTCCCAGAGATACTCATTGGGCTGCTGTTAAACGCATTCTTCGTTATGTTCAGTTCACCCTGACATTTGGTATGCATATTCGGCCGACTTCCTCTCGGGTCCTTTCGGCCTTCTCTGATGCAGATTGGGCTGGTAGCCCAGATGACAGGCGATCCACGGGGGGTTATGCAGTATTCTTTGGCTCTAATTTGATCGCCTGGAGTGCTCGGAAACAGGCTACTGTGTCACGTAGCAGTACTGAAGCTGAGTACAAGGCTGTGGCTAATGCTACTGCAGAGATTATTTGGGTGCAGTCTTTGCTTCAGGAGTTGGGTTTGTCTCAACCACAGCCTCCTATTCTTTGGTGTGATAACATCGGTGCTACATACCTTTCTGCAAATCCAGTATTTCATGCCCGAACGAAACACATTGAAGTTGACTATCACTTTGTACAGGAACGTGTATCGCAGAAGCAACTCCAGATCAAGTTTATCTCATCTAAGAATCAACTTGCAGACATCTTCACTAAGCCTTTACCGCTGCCACAGTTTGAGGCTTGTAGGCGCAATCTTACCCTTCTCAGTTCTTTAGAAAGTGGCTAAGATTGAGGGAGGGTGTTAGACTATGTATAGCTTCTGTACTTATGTACGTATTATAACACAACCATTATATATAATGAGATAAGCCACCCCTAGAGGGTTGTGCTGGTTCTCCAAAATTTATTGTCTTACAATAAGCCATGATGAAATAGGTGGGCATGGACTTGCTGAGGTTTTTGTGGGAGACGTGGCCGAAAACTTTGTGGTTCCACCCGCAAAAAAAGAAGAACTTTGTGGTTCGAACCTCCATCATCGAGGAGTAGGATTATTTGCAAGTTACTGTTCCGCAAGTGCTATCTTGTTCTTTTGCTTGTGAATTATTTGCTAAGTACAAACAAGTTCAAGGTAAACTTGCCAATCCCTGCAATTTGAGCTAGAAGTTTTTAGAACAATTATATAAGTTAAATAGGTCTTAGATATCTAATAATTTTATTGGACCAGGCCCTAGAATTTTAGCGGGCCAAGGGCTATTAAAATCTAAGAGAAACTGCCTCCCCTGAATTAGGCATGTTACGCATGTCACTGTCAGCTTCGCACTGCAAAACAGTTTCAAGGGAAGTGTTAACGTTAACAAGAGTTCTATCAGAATTCCAGGAGTTCCTGTGACTTGTGGATGTCGAGGCACCAACAACCACCATGATCAGATTGCTTGCTCCGAGTCTAGAATTCCCAAGAAACGTTGCGAAAACATATGGCCGTCAGTGCTCCAACCATTCTGTTTTCGACCAGTTCACAGCCTCATTAACTCCTCTCTGTTTCCCCACAGTAGCTTCACAGAGACGGATTAGCAGCAAACTTCTTTTTGGTCTATTGACCAGCTCATTTTGATCTTTGTACAACAAAAGTTTGTGAAAATGTGTTCCAATATGTTCGGGCTGTCTATATAACTGTGGCTATTTCACACCATCTTCTGTGTGCATGTGACATATGCAGACTTGATACAGCATGGAGCACACAAGAAATGGTGATCTGAAAGTCAGCTATGAGCAGCGGGAGCTGTTCGGGCGGCGCCGGAACAGCACCTCGCCGTCGCCCGCCTACGTCGACCTCACTGGGGAGGCCGTGGACAGCCGCCCGGCAGCGGCAAGGGTGCCATTGCCGCCGAAGAGCACCCCGAGCCGGCAGGGCACTTGCGCTGACGGCGAGCTCGACGTGTTCTCGGCTGAGCGTTACTTCAAGGGCGCAATGGATGGCCACCACCAGGAGGGCCCCGCCACGCCCACGCGCGTGGAGGCTGTGGCCGCGGGGGCGAGGCCAGCTGTGCCGGTGAGCGAGCCGGCGTGGAAGCGCACGTCGTCGGCGAGCGCCGGCTCGGTGGGCAGCGCCAACAGCCAGACCGTTCTCCTACGGGATGCGCGCCGCCGCCCGCGATACCGCTGCATGAAGTGCTGCCTCCAGGTAGGCGTGCTCCTGCGTCTGTGCTCCGGGAAGCGGGCCGTGCGCGTAGACGGCGCGGCCGCCGTGGCGACAGAGACCGCCGGATCGAGCAAGCTGGCGGCATCGGCGACGGCGAGCAATATCGAGTGGTACAAAGACCTGCGGAGGGAGAAGGCTGGCCTCGGGCTAACCGGAGACGGCCACCGTGGCGTGGTTGCTGGCCTCCCGCCAAATTTGAATCTCGGGGCATCAGGAGTGGCAGCCGTAGGGAGGGAAGAGAAGCAGGGCGAGTACACGAGCGCGAGCTGTAGGAGAGGAAGCTTCACTCTTCCAGCTCCGGTGGAAGTCAGCTGCGGCAGAGGCGGCGGCGACGACGACGGCGGGAGCGAGTCGAGCTCGGACCTGTTCGAGATCAAGAGCCTAATGATCGACGACTGCCCGCACGAGCCCAGCGAGGAAAGCGTCCAGTGGAGCGTGGTGACCGCGAGCGCGGGTGGCGGCCGCACCGGCGCCCCGGTGGCCGTGACGCAGAACAGGGACAGTCCGGTTGGGATATTGACAGGGTGCCTGAGCCGCGGGCCGGTGGATGTGTCGGCGGTGGCCGGGGTGTGCAGGTTCCCCGACCCGTCGGCGTCGGCGTCGGCACCGGCGCATTGATGGGTAGCACAAGGCGTAGAATGCAGTTATACAAGTACAGTTCGTTGCTTGTTTGAGATTGACCCTACATTTTTTTTTGTAAAGTTTGTCCTGTTCATAGTATACATAAATTTTATTTTTTTTCCTTCTTATTTTAAAATGTATCATAATGTTTGGTTGTGTACCAACAAATAAAAGTGTACTCGTTTCATCGATATCTAGCACATCAAGGGTGGTCATTCATCAAGTACCTCTAGCCTATAAAAACCTTACTAGATCATCGATGGCGCGCGTTGCCGCGCCCGTCTCTTTTTCAGTATAATGGTAGGAAATTTGATAAATATACGATGGCATGGAATATTGATGTTAAATATGGAATAAGTTTCTTCGAATTTAAGGACAATGAACTTAATATTTTGGATTAGCAAAAGGGAGCATGAAGTGTAATCTGTGTACTGTAGTTGTAAGACCGATCTCTAAAATCTGATTCTGAAAACATCATATTGTACAGTAAAATGACAGCTCTAAAACATTATAAATCAGCCTTAAAATATCTCCCTTGGCATTGAAATAAAAAACACACACATTAACTTGTTTGATCTTGGTTTTCCGTATTTGAAATTTATGGCTGCTCATTGTTCTTGCCCATCGTAAGCCACACTTGTTCTTGATTTTACCGCATTGACATCTCATTGGCAGTTTATCAAATCATTTTGTAAACTTTGGTCCTCGCTCATTAACTGATTTGACCTATTTCAGAATTGATGATAAATATGTGTTTTAAAAGGATGGTAAATTGATGAAAGTAATGTTATTTTATTTATTTAATACCAGACAATTATACTGAGCACCAAACCGTTGCAAACCATTATATTGAGCAACTAAAACCCCTTTGTTTTAAAAGTTTATTAATAAAACTATCAACCAAAAAGCATCTAATTATGAAATGCATATTAACAACAAGTGCTTATTATAAGAACTATAAGAGAAGTATACACAGAGAAAGAAAGAAAAAAGCTTGATGCTTTCGAAATTTGAGAAAATAGGTTGGTTTTTCCAATTGTGTAAGTTCAAGAGAGAGAGAGAGAGAGAGAGAGAGAGAGAGAGAGAGAGAGAGAGAGAGAGAGAGAGAGAGAAGTAATCAAAGGGATCATCACATTACTTCACAGTAGCTAGGAAGGTCATTCTTAGCCATCTTGAGAAATCTTAAATTAACCTTCGCTATTTTAGGATAGAACCTTCAGTGCATAATCTCAATTAGATCAGTATGGGTCTGTTTTATTATCATGTACTTTGCATAATCTGTCCAACTAAAATATTATATTTATGTGACCTTATAAAATTAGCAGGGATATTAGTGATAATGTTATTTCACAAAAATTAGGAGACATAATTAGGTTAATACAAGAAGTGAAAAAAAGGCGAGCCACCAAATGGTATTTTACTTTATAACTTGAACGCCACAAAGGAAACTTCTGACACAAGTTCCTAAACCACCTAAAAAATGCTTGCCGTTGTACAACTCTCATAGAAATACTCCATATCTGCATTCACGTTTAACTTCAGAAGATTGGTGTAAAAGGAATATTATAAAATCATAATGCATGATGCATCATCGCAGCACAAGGAGGATGCTTGCAGCCCAACAACATTTATGTTATTTGCTTGGTCATATATGTTATAAGTGAACTGTGCACAACTTCATAGTTGACTATAACCCACATGACCAAGCGAAAATGCAGGGAATAATACACTTACCTCGAGCATTCAACATCAATGGGTATCATCACCTAGCTCTTTGTCCTAATTAGTAGTGAAGTTGAACACCGCAATGAACAGGTGTATCATTGGTGCCGCCCACTCTTAAGTTCTGAATTCGTAAATATCTAGAAATTATAAGCTCAAGGATTTTCTGGCTAGCAATACACTGATCTGATGGCACCTATTTTATTATCAAAATTAGCAGTTCCCCCTAACGGAGCACCTTTTGCAAGGTATAATCAGATCCTCCATCTCTTAATTCAAATGCATGTCTCATATATTGCGGAATGCAACTGTCCAAATATTAAGAAGCGAATAACTCTGGTGGCTCTTGAGCCAACACACTTTGTACCTGAAACATAAACTGTATGGTAAGTTGATATGAACATCCGTTACAGCAATGGACTATTTTTTTTTTGAAACGGAGTACAGCAATGGACTATGGAGCTTAATGGCATATACTGTAGTGAGTACATGATGTACTCCTCGGCTATTCACACATAGAAAATAAAGACCGTTGAGCACAATGGTTCCTCTTGTGCATTGCATCAAACACGTGAACCACACTGTTAAGGAAATCAAAGTCTCTAGATAGCTCAAAGAAACACGGGACACAAAAACTTAATTGGGAAGAGAGTTTGCTTGAGCAAGGCCAGCCGCCGCGCGCCATGGCTGCCGTTGCCCCGCATGTCCGCGATCAGCTCATGGAGCACCAATGGAAGCTTCACCATCCAAATATGTATGTTACGGACCTTTTTCTTGCAGGGAAATATTACAGGAATTATTTTTGCACAACAAATAACTAAGCATATTGTGTATCATTTGAACATTGTTTAAATAAGTAGAGAGGGGATCGGACCGCACAAGTTGATTTCAGTAGGCTCCCCACTGCTGGCCACAACTGTCGATACAAGATGTCAAGATCGAGCATGACACACGACCTTCCCTTCCTCCCTGGCTTCACCTTCAAGCTGCTAGGAGAAGCTCATCGCATCGCCTCCCATAACAACGAATGGTGAGATGGTGCAGGAGGCCGCCATCGTGCTGCTGGAGTGCATGCTAGGGCTTCGACCCCCTGGACGTCAGGAAACATAGAAATTAGTCATGAAAAAAGCAAGATGGAGAATTAGGCAACCAGATTGAGGTTGGCCTGCATCACGAAGCGGTACTTCCCTGCCCGGACGACTGAGGACTGCCCTACCACCACCAGCGAGACGACTAAGACCCTGGCGCGGGAACCTATCACGAGGACCCCGGTTGATCCGTCATCGCCGCACATGGTCCGCTACAGCCGCTACAACCTCCTTTCGTCCGCCGTCCGCGATCTTACCTGCGAGGCGTGGCCAACTCCGGCCAGCCGCGAGCAACGACCTCCATTATCGCCCGCATACCGTGCCAACCGGTTGAATGGACCGACCACCAAATGCTGGATTCTGTAGATCGACTCGCGACACGCACCCCGCATTCCGCATTGGATACCCTCGATCCATGGCTCCTGAATCCTCTCAATCGAGTGGTACTGGGTACCCTCGAGCGCGATGCGCATGGCCTGGATCCACTGGCGCCTCGCCTGGATCCGGCCGTTGGCCGCCCGAGCCGCTCGCATCGAAGCCACGACGGCCGCATCGGGCGCCGCCATCCCCTCTGTAGATGGAGCGGTACTCGCTGAGGTTTGTTCGTTGCGTTTGGCCTGAGCAGGGAAAACGGGCCCGATGCAGCCCAATTAACCAGAGGGGTAAGAAAAAGCTACGGGAGCAGCTGCCCTGGCTGACATCTAGCCCACTTCGCGACTGAGGTACAACTAAACGAAGATCCAACAGTGAAAATGTCCAGGTAACGAAATCCAACGGCCAGAAACGCCTAATTACTGAGAGGGCAGGGATTAAGTTCAGTTTTACTGTTCTTAATGGGAGCACATGTACTATCATTCACCCTAACTTTGAATAAACTCAAGGGATGATGTACGAGTAAAAAACCCAAAAGAATCATCTACTCCAAGATACCTTACAAGGTTTAGATTTGGATCCCTTCTGTAACACTAACATGGACGAGCTCTTTACCCCGATCCCTTCTTTATAATATAGTACGCACACTCGTGCGTATTCGAGAAAAAAAAAGTTTAGATTGGGATGCTAGATATGAGCAATCCTGAAAGGCTCAGATCGACAAGAGAAGAGGAGCTTCGAGGGAACCTTGTCTTCCAGAGTCGAGTTGTAAGTCAGACGCTTCTCTTGTTAATGGAAACTCGTAGTAGCTTTGTCTTGTGCTCGAGCCATTCTTCGACCTCTTCTCTTATTGTATCTTTGGACATAGATGTGGGGCGCACAGTGAGACAACCAAACATATTTAAAAAACGTGGCATATTAATTCTGTCAGTATATATGAACTGAGTGTGTGTGGCAGATCTCAGTTGCGCTTACCGCAGATGATGACTCTCTCTTCCTCCTCGGGAAACGCAACATCGGCGAGACAAATTCCCCACACCTCTCGCCCTCCCACCTACCCCCGCATCAATTCGAGCCTCCCCTGTCTGTGGTCCTCACCCACTAGTTCTCATGGCAGGAGTGTGTCGCCTGGGGTGTGGATACGTCGGCTGGCACCAACAACGAGGGTGGCGAGCCAATGGCGTTACCACCTCCCGGAGTGGCTCCGCCGCCCCCAATCGATGCGAACTCGCCGGAGGCTCACAAGGAGATGCGATGGGTGATGCTGGAGAGATGCCCTGACCGGGACGAGTGGGCAGACATCCACATCAACATAATCCGCTACGCGACCTTCGAAGAGCGCGCACGCTTCATCGGCGACGACAGCTGCATGGTTGTGGAGCTCATCTTCTGGGCGATCCAGGAGGCCGAGCCGTCAGATCCGGTACAGGCGACGCAATGGGCAAACTACAGGATGGCGAATCCATTGTGGCTCAACATCAGGATGTCGCTGGATGGGATAGCCAGTATCCCTCCGAAATTCCTTTCGTCGGGGGATCGCCTGCCCCGCCGTCGCCTGTGATGAGACCGACGCCCCCATGGATCCAGCATCAACGACGACCCATCGCCCCCTCCCTGGCCGGGCGAGAGAGGTATGCATTTGATACGTCTCCGTCGTACATATAATTTTTTATTGTTTCATGCCAATATTCTACAATTTTCATATACTTTTGGCAATATTTTATATTATTTTTGGGACTAACTATTGATCCAGTGCCCAGTGTCAATTCCTATTTGTTGCATGTTTTTTGTTTCACAGAATATCCATATCAAACG